ACTTGGTTCCTCCTCTGGTGAAATCAGCTGCTGAGTTCATGGGTGGAACAAACATATGGCAGGACTTTTACTTTCTGACCCCTGGATTGTCCACCTCTGCATACAGCACTTTGTCAAATGGTGCCATGTAGAACCATAAGAGGTGCCATATAGCACTTTTTCTCAACAATGGTGCCCCGATCTTAACTAATAATCATGGCTCCCAGCATGCAGAAGAAAGAGACAACTTTTTTTGTGTACAAAAATATTATTTATTAACACCATTTATTAAAAACATGAACTAGAGTGACTGCCGTTGATGACTCTCTATTAATTGTTGTTCAGTCCTCCTGTCAAAATGCTCCCGCTCACTGATAAAAAAACAAAAGTTGGATAGTTGTAGAAAGAAATGGTTATTTGTGAATAATGGCAGGATGTCATGTTTGACCATGTTTTCCTTTATAGTATCCTTACAGTAGTATTACAGTATGACCTTATGTAAATGACAGGTCCTCGCAGAAATTTCTACTCAGCCTTTAGGATGGACAGATTTTCCACAAAAGCCAGGGCACAGATAATGGACTACCAGAGAAAGAATTGAGATTGATCACACACCCCAAGTAGCCAAGTATCATTTCACATATTTAGCTTTTTTCCAACAAAATGAAAAGTGTCTCCTATAATCACCACAAAAACAATTATTTTTAGAGCAATGGTCTCACATTATGGATAAACTATTTGATATTTAAAACAATGTGAATCTGACATCATGCAAAGCACAGCTAACACATGAGACCTACCTCTGTAAAAAGTACAAACCCAATTCCAAAAAAGTTGGGACACTGTACAAATTGTGAGTAAAAAAGGAATGGAATAATTTACAAATCTCATAAACTTATATTTTATTCACAATAGAATATAGATAACATATCAAATGTTGAAAGTGAGACATTTTGAAATGTCATGCCAAATATTGGCTCATTTTGGATTTCATGAGAGCTACACATTCCAAAAAAGTTGGGACAGGTAGCAATAAGAGGCCGGAAAAGTTAAATGTACATATAAGGAACAGCTGGAGGACTAATCTGCTCCTGATCTTCAATGTATACCGGCACAGGTGCTGACTTAGCAGAATGCTTGGGGAAAAGTGTAATGCCACTTTGACTTCTTTTGGCCACTGCCTTGCCTTTCAAAAGAAAGAAAACATTTTAATTTGCTGACCCCCCAATACGACAACTCTAGTTAGTGACAATAAACAGGCAGATTCATAATTAAAATGTTTTAATTTCATTTAAATTGTTTAAATGTAGGTTATCAAGAATAGACGTGAATATTTATTTGTGGGAATTTTACTGAGGTGATTATGAAAACAATGACAAGGCATGATTGATTGATGCCTTATGACTATGCTGATGATTTATTGCATTTTTTCATCTGTGCTGTGTTGCCTCAGTTTGGTCAGTTATTTCCACTGACAAGGAAGGGACTTCAAGAATGAAACAAACTAAGATGTTCAGAAACTAGTACACATACCTCTCTGTCTCAAACTGCTCACCAATCTGATCGCAGGAATGTCAAGCTAACAGAAATGTTACAGGATTAGTATTCAGATCTTATTGGTAGAACTCAATGACCAGCAATAAAGTACAACAACTTTATAGCAACCTTTTAATGAAGAAAACAGAAAAGCTAATCTGAGGGAAATTAAATGGAGTGTTCAGCACGGTGTAGAGGGCATACTCTCGACGTTATATGCCATAGGAACATGGCAATCGTTTCTTAGCTGTGGACCTAAAGATGTCTCTGTGCTGGTCATCTCCAAAACCAGGCTTTGGTTACTATACAGGGAGACTAGAAGGAGGATCTCTCTTCAGAGTGTCTTCAGTACCTATAGGGATGCATAAGCAATGGTTATGGCCAGGGAGTATAAGAAAGTGTTATGACAATCCATTTCACATTTGCATTATCACAATCCCTCCAAACCACAAAGTTTAATAATTACTATATTCTTATGAGCTACAATGTAAAATCTTACACATATCTGGGGATCTGGGCCGGTGGCTTGTGTTCATGCAGGGAACACAAGGGCATCCTTCATGAAAGCATTATCCTAAAAAACGCAAATAACACCAGTAAAGAATACCTATTATTTTACTTCTGACTTATGGTAGATTTCAAATAGTATGATTTATGCATCCAATACTCACTGGAGAGTAGGTTAGAGGATTGTGGCAATAACATGCATGTTGGCAGTGTACATGTCTTTGCCCTGTGAGAGTAAAAGGAAAACTTAAGCAGACTACCACTTGCCATTCAAATATGAAATTAAGAAACTCTCTAAAAAGTCTCAAATAAACTACAGCTGATATAAAATAATGTGAAAAAATACATGTGCTCAAACCTCTTCATTGACGAGTTTCATGCAGGCATTTCCCATCTGCAGGAGAAACAATAAAAATAGCTAGCACACACAAAAATCTAAGCTCTTTAAACAAAGAAAACAGATAGCATAACGTTACATGCAAATGTTACTACTTACATCTACCTGACCGTCATTAAGTACATTTATAGACATTTTTAGACTTTAATACGACTATCAGGGACGCGGGAAGTAGAGGTGCTGAGGGGGCTGCAGCACCCCGTGTTTTCACATAGTTGCAAATGCAACGCCAAGTTTGTTAATTTAAATTTATTCAGTTTTAGCATTTAATAATTTATTTGTAATGATCTCTGAAATGTAAATTGTAAGTGGGCTATAATAAACCCATGTTTATCTTTATAAACATGATTAATTTTACTTGTGATGTTTTCTATATGGGATGATTAGCCTAATCCTCATGAACACGTGACCCTAGCGCGTGGTATCAGACATGAACTGTACAGAATGCGAACAAGATTAACTTTAATACAAGGAGATAATGGCGCAAAAGCGAATATCAGATTTTTTTAAATGCCCATCCCAGCAAAAACTTTCCAAAATCGGCAGCCCCAGCACGAGCACCGACGTAAGTAAACCAGCCCCAAATTAGTGATGAACAGCTGCTGTTAACAAGCAGAATCACTGAAGAAAAGAGAAACAAGAACTACAACTGACTTCAGCCACAGACTTAGATGAAATCAACTGAAATAAAAGAAGACATTAAATCTTTCAAGATCTCAGCAGAAGATAATTTATTATCTCCACAAACAGCATCACCAGCTTCACACATTACTAACCAGTTTGACTTTATTTCTGGAGTATCTAAAACAGAAGTTCTTTATTGAGAATTAAGGTTTAGATTTTTTTTTTTCAACTTACCGTTTTTGTGAATAGTGGTTGCTTTAGTTGCCTTTTGACCCTTGACTTTTTAAATTTAAGTTTCTTTTTGGCTGGCACAGTTGTGTTTATGAAACACATATGTGATGGCAAAGCACTTATGATAAAATCATATCATGTGTCTTAGTCTGTGATTGCAATTTATCTAAAAGTGTAGTGCTTTTTTGGTTTTGATGTTGTTGCAGTTAAATGTGATAATGTGATAAAAAACCTTTTTAAACTACTTTTATAAATATGGTTCATAAAGAGGTTTAAATTCAGGCACTCGTAGACATGAAGAATCAGCATGTGAATCTCAGCAATGGTGACAAAATATTCTGATAATTTTTATCTAAACAGTACAGATATTCTCAACTGTTACACAAAGTGTTTTTAAAGCTTTTCTTACTATTTCATTAAAATGCAGTTGTGATCAATAACATAAACTATGTTACACATTACCACTGATGACATCAGTGAACCTGGCTACAACATGACAACTTTGTCATTATCAAAAAAACAGCCAATATAATCTAAACCCATTTTCTCTTGATTGTTCTTACCATAACCAATGTGATTCATAACCACTGATACAACAACCACAGAAAAACCATTATTAAAAAGTCAAGGGTTGTCATGAAGAGCCCAACTAAAGCAAACGCTTATCTCCACAACGGTGACTTCAAATTGTGTTATTTTCAATAAACATTAACATCTTAATTTCTGTTGATTCTTAATAAGAAATTTTAAGACGCATGACAAACAAAAATTCTATCTGGTTAGTAATGCATGAAGCTGGTGATGCTGTTTGTGGAGATGATTAATCATCTTCTGCTGAGATCTTGAGAGA